ACACACACACACACACTGAGTGGATCTGGAACTGCACTAAATCAAGTTTTTTGATCAAATGAACTCATTCTGAAGGTCTTTTGAAGAACCATAAAGGTGTTTTTGCATGTGAATATCATTTGTTTGGTTCCATTATTTTTAAGATGGCATAAAAATCAGTTTGTAGAGATTTGTGCTGCATCACATCATGTCTGCGTTTATTTTGGTCGGATTCTTGTTTATTGACTTGGTTTTATTATAACTGCGTTACCACACAGTAACAAAGCCACTATGATGCAAATAAAAGTAGACAAACATCACAAAGGGAAACTAGACTGTCCTCATTAGAAAAAACTCAGAATGGGCTCATTTCATTAACATATGTTTACTTTACTAATAGAAAAAACATGAATTCTTCTCTGGTGATGATTTAATACAACTCTGATTGATTATGCTAACTAGCTCGTACAGTAGTCTTACACAGTACAGCACTTTACATTTTGGTCAAGTGGTCCGTTTTTTCACTATTTCTGACTAACAAATGTCTCACTAATATGTAAATCACTTAGTCTAAAATGTGGCCATAACAGATAATTAAACTCATTTCTGTCATTTAACATATTATGTGTAAAAGGAATCTAAATAAATGTGTAATATTAAGATCTGCCCCTGCCACTGCGTCAGTCCAACCCCCCCCCCGCTGCTCTCACAAACTCGTCACCACAGTAATGGCTGCGCTGCTAGATGGTGGAACTCACAAACCATCACAAAAGCTTGTGTTTGGCTGAGAGTAAACAGACAGGAGCCACATCGATTAGTTTCTGTTGCTAACTGAATAAGGATCAACTTCTTGGTGAATCAGACAAGATGCTTGCTTAAAATTAGCCAATATTTGAATTATTTTCCACGTCTACTGACATTTTGCTTTGAGAAAGAAACAAATGATTTTATTGTTTTATTTAAACGTTTAAAAAGAGCCCTTTGAAAATGACCCAATATCCAGTTTCTGTGATAGGTTTTCTTGAGTCATTGTGTTTTAATGAAGAGCCATTATTCATATCACAAAATATCTGTATGAAAATTAATTCTTAAGAGCCTCATCAGTAATAATTACAGCCTGCCTCTCATCTTCCCCTCATTCCACTTTACGTTAGGACACTCAAATGTAATTTGTTCGGCTCTCCTTGTGAGCGTCGAGGAAGGTAACTCTGCATTAATCACCGACAGTCAAACAGCTCAGTTTATTCTCAGCTCGTACCGACAGATGGCCAATTTCACTTCTGACAGAAAACAACAAGTCCTAGAGGAGTCTCCATGTTCAAAGAGTTGACGATTCTGCATGAATACAAACCAGAGTCTGCTGGTGATAAATTTAACCAATTTATCTTCCAAAACTTATGTTGCTTTCTTCTCTTATGAGACATTACACCACTGATACAGATATATTATAGATATATACGTTTTTTTTTTTTTTTACGTTCTCAGATTGTGGTCTTTTATTGAGAGTCAGACTGTCTAGTTTCTAATTTTCACTGCTTTTCCTGTTTCCTGTTAACTCCTCCTGCAGTTCCACAGCAATAATTATAAATCAACCCTTCCTAAGTCCTGCTCCCTTTTGCTCTGTGCTCCAATCACAGTTGAGCAAACCTCGGTCAACCTCTCCTTTCCTGTACTTAGATATGCTACGTGCTAGGCTAATCTGTGTTGAAAAAAAACACATTTTGAAGATGGTTAAAAGATAAAGCATCATTTAGTCATATCTTAAGTTAGTTTTAGTTAGTTCGTTCTTTTGATGGCTAAATGTGAAACTCAACTTTACCTGATTCTCTGACAGGTCAACTGCTTAAAAAGCAGGCATGACAAATAGGAGGTTGTGGGTTCAAATCCTGCCTTGGATTTTTATATAATTTATGACACAACTCCTGTTATCCTCCTTGTTATTCAGACAGCAACAATAAATTGTCATCTTGTCTCTGTCCTTCTTTTTCTCAGTTTGATCAACCTACAGAACTACTCTACCTACTGGTCGGCTGCAGACATCAGTAACTGCACGGACATCGACGACATCCAGGTGTCCGCAGGTAAGCTCAGCCAATCAGATCCTAAAACTGAGGCATATGCTTAATTCAAGTCAAATGGATATAAAGATAGAATCAAAAGAATGTTTAAAAAGTTAGAATGATTATCTATTAACGCCATGACGATTGGACTCACGTATAAAACAAGCAAACTGATCAGAATCTACATTAGAGTTCAGTTGTGAAAAAAAGTGAAATATCCCAACTGTCTTTGGTTGAAACTGCTACTTGTTAGCTTCCTGTTAGCTGCTATTGCTCCTCTGATTGGTTAGTTTGAACATCACTCCAGAATGTAGCATAATTTCGTTGTAACCAGTAACGATAGAGAACGAGACGTTGGAACCATTAGTTTCAGTTATCTTAACTTTGTTTTTGAGAAACCATGTTTTATCCGTCAGACGGCTCTAAATACTACAATACCCATGAGCTGCGAATTCAAAACACTTTGTTGTTATAGTTAAATAAAAAGATTCATTCTATTCTCATATTTATTTAACAAATAGATATAAAGATATTAACAGATATTAAAATGGAATATGTGTAAATCATTAACTGTGTCTGTTTTTTGTGCAGAAAATGCAGCCGAGGTGGCGGTGCAGCTCGCCGTCATCACCAACAACGAGCTGTCCAATGAGGAGGTGGGAGTCCAGACTTCTCTTTCTGATCGTACGGAGATCCCGTGGGGAGCATGAATAAACTCTTCTTCTTCTCCTCTTCCTCTCTGCAGGTGTCCAAAGTGGTGACGAAGGTGAAGGAGCTGGTGAACGTGGCGAAGATCAACACTACGTTAGCCTCCACCGTCGTCACCATCATCTCCAACGTTATGACCAGTTCAGAGACAGCGCTCGCTGCCACATCCGAGAAGTACGGTCCACTTTATAGTTCTATATTACTGAACTCTACTGTACTATACTCTACTGTAGTCCACTGTACTTTAGTGGACTGTACTGTACTCTTCTGTACTCTTCTGTACTCTACTTTACATTACTTTACTCTACTGTACTCTAGTCTTCTGTACTTTACTATAGTCTACTCTACTGTACTCTACTGTACTTTACTGTATTTTACTTTACTGAACTCTAATCTACTGTACTGTAGTCTCGTCCTCCCTCACACTTAATAACTTTTGACAATGACATGGTCACTTCTCCGCACTCAGAGCTCTGAAGACGGTTGATGAGTTGGTTCAGAAGATCGAGTTCGAGGGTTCGTCGATCAACATCACCTCCAGACACCTGGCTTTGGCGATATCAGCCATCAACACCACCATGTTCAACGGGACGTCCTTCAGCGCCTTCATGGCTCCGAACACCAGCCACCCGCAGGTAACGCTCATTCTTCATGAGGAAAACCTTCGACTGTCAGGATGCATTATACTCTCATTCAGGTTTACCCACAAAGCTGTTTTGGACAAAGATAAGTAAATTCACTCGAGGTGTAATTTTTTTTTAATGCCGAGTTGGTAATATACACTGCTGGGGCACCAATAAAATGACAAAATAATTCTATTATTATTTGATTTTCTTTTATCTTAATCTGAATTTTAAAGTTAAAGAACTGTAATAAAAGTCATTATCTGTGAGATTACAGTAATTATTGCTGTTTTCACTGATAAAAACTGTATTTTGACAATTTACCAATGCTTATACACTGATAAACATTTATTCAACGTTTTTGTTATAAAATAATTATTAATTAGTTAAATCAAATGAAGTAACAACATTTTAATCAAAAAATGTAATTAAAAAACAATAAAATTCTTTCAAAAATGATATTAATTCATTCATTTAAAAAAAGAACTGATGTCAATAATACAGCAAATATTCTCTCTTAAAACAGTTTTAGATTACTATTTAAAATCTACACATTGAACACTGGAACACGGGCTAATAGATAGAACAATGCCCAAGCGTCAGGGAGAAGAATTTGTGAAAAAACAAACCAATTAAGTATGTATTATTACAAAAAACAAATCTCTGTTCATACTATTGTATTATGGACATTATGTGTTTGCAGTTACACATTAACATAAAATGTTTTTAAATAAAAAACAAGGATAATGCTAATTGCTAATGCTAATCAAACCAGTTCTACATACAGAGCAACATGTGAGTTGTGTCTGTAACGTTATCTTCTAAAATGAACTGAAAAGTGTTACTGTGGTACCAGCTGTCCCCTGTCCGTCTGAACTGATCTGAGTGCTTATTGTTCTCCTTCCTTCCTCTCTCTCTCTCTC